TGCTTAAGCAATAGGAGCACTCTTCAAGTTCTAAATTTTCTTTTAACTATATTTGGCCCTTGTAATTTTTTGCATCAGCTTATGGGAGTTGAATGTCTAAATGTACAAAGGCTTATTCTCCATTCCTCTTGGTTTCCTGCCTTACCCCCATTTTTTTATAGTTAGGCATATTCCTTGCTGTCTTATTCAGCTTACTACTGAGTGCAAAATGACCATTCTTTGTTCATTTTGTATGTTTTCCCCTTCATTTAGTGGTGCTCTTACCTCCAAAACCCATTCTTACTGAAGTCAGTGGAGAGCTTTGAAATGACTAGTGCTTTTAGCAAATCTCCCTGTTGCCTTTATTGAATAATAGAATAAGTGCTCAAAATTCCCATTCTTCTTGATAGGTTTTCACATTTTAACTGTTGAATGAAAGATTAGAAAGAAAAAAAAGCTGAAAAATAGCCATTCTTCTGATAAGATAATGCTTTTGGAATACAGAAGGATTCTGCCTGTGGTTAGTCAGAATCTGAATTTTGAATATTAAACAACATGTAAGCAGAAGAGAGAGGAACTGTCTGGCTTGCCTTAAAAAAATGCAGCGTCACTGATTGCCTAAATCTATAACCTGTTTATGCCTATTGAGTGATCGAGTGTGTGAAATGAGATGGTAGAATCAGATGGACCATGTCTCCAGGAATTGTTGTATGTAATAAGGCATGAAGAAAATCTTTTAAAATAATTATGCAACTTCTGATTACAAAATCATGGCTGATTGAAATACGTTTTGAGACCAGAGACTGACACTGAACTGAGAGGGCTTAACTCTCCGCCCAGTCAGCAGTAAAATCATCATATTCTAGAATGAAATTTTTGTTCTTGGAGGGTTTTAGAAAACACTAAGTCTAAACAAAAATTATCGAAGGTAACAGATGCGTTTTTCTGAGAAGTGCACTGTGCCCAGTACACATGTAAGTTATATTCTGTGTTAAATGTCAAATTTCTTCAAATAAGTTTAAGTAACTAAATGTCACTGATACCTCATGGAAAACAGTGATCAGACTTTGGATCTCTGCTGTTAAGACTCTCCTCAGAGTGTGAGGTGTTGCTATGTGACCTAGAGGCTGGTTCTGCTCATAGCATCTTATATTTGTCAAGGGAATTGATTAAAGTTACTTTAAACAGCTTTAGTAAAATTCACCAATTTTATCTGTGATTTTGGAATCTTGCATGTGTCATCAAAGTAAACTGTCCTTTGTTTTTCTTAAATGTGATATCATATGTCAGAGTTTAAGTAATTGTAAATTTTAAGGAAATAAGTAAAAGCTGGGGCTGACTAAATGAACAGGAAAACCTGCAAGACAAAAGCTTTAAATAAAGGTTTCAGGCAAGATTTAGGTTGCCTTGCTGTGATTGACCTGACTGCTGCTAATGAATCCACCTATACTCAGATGCTCTACTCATCTACTCTACAAAAGGCTAGAAACAAAAATTTCTTGTTAGGTACTGAATGTTCGCTATAATGTGAATTTCACCCAGAATTAATTACAGGTCAAGACAAGCAAGTGCTAGTAGTACTAGGAAGGCAATTAAAAGAATACTTGTGTAGAAGCTTATGTAGAATCAGAAGCTGTTACACTACACTTTTAGAGAAGTCTGATGTATCCATTCAGTCCAAAAAGGATTGATTTAACTGTTTTACTCTGGAATTAAAATGTTACTTATATGATTTGAAAACAATTATATGCTTTTATATTACTTGGCTGATACAAATATTGTGCAACTATCTTTTTCCTTTTTCCTGGGAATTTTCATGATAATTTTGTTTCATTTAATACATAAATTTTGTGTTTCAAATAATGGTAAGTGTAGAGCAACAAGAGGAAAACTACTATGGGATATGTGTAGTTCTGTAAAGGCTAATTCTTAAACACAGATTTAACTATAGATTCCTAGTTATCAGGTTGGCTATCAGTTTTTGGTGTGCTGTCATACCTAATGATTCCTTCTTTCTGGTTACTACTTTAACAGCAAGAGTTGTATGTTAATTCCTGACTGAATTTTCAGTTACAACTGAAATCTCAGTTTTGAAAACTCCAGGATTTCGCTGCAGAGCTGAGACTTGAAAGGTGCACGACCCCAGAGTACAGCATCTTAACAGCCAGAGTTTTAGAATCTGTTGGGAAAATAGCAGGCAAATTTACAGATTAATCACAAAATAAAATACTGGAAATGCCTTCATGCATACATTTTAGTATGTATGTTTTAAATCAGGAGTACAGAGTTGAACTTTTAAGAAAACTTGGGTTAAAAATAGTCACAACACAGTCATAAAAACCCATTCTTTCCTGGACCCATCTGTGACTGACAGGTGAGTTTTGAGCCAGCTGAGTGTTGTAAATGCTTCCAATCTCATAGCAGATGGTGCAGTCTATCAAAGCCACTTGAGTCCTCGACAAAGCTACTGTTGTTAATTGAATGAATATGAAAGCTCTTTTGCAGAACAATGTCATTTGAATAATAGAGCACACACGATCTGTTGAAATATGTGCTATATGTAGCTCTGTACAAACAGAAGTATCTATATGATACAACCAGCTCTCTTAATTCTGGGGCTATGCTTGTGCAGAGAGAGTTGTTTCCCGTGTACTTGTCGAGCCTGGGAGATGGCCGAACTGATCCCCTGTCTCCCTCAAGCACCTGAGACATTTCTGGGCTGCTGTTGTTTTCGCTGCACGGTATGCTGTAGCCACAGGAGGGCAGATGTACCTAACATTGTGCATCACTACTTGTAGCACGCTACACACAGTGTAAAATATTGCTGGTAGCAGTATCTTAGTTCAGCTCTGTTGGAGAGCTTGCAGCATGTAGCTAGATTAAGTACAGTGGTGCATGCTCTTGGTGTAAAAGTAATTGAATTAATCTTTGTTACCTGTACCTGTGGTAATGAGTCATGGTAATTATATTAGTATAAAATGTAATTCTTTTTTGTTTTGTGTTATTTTCTACTTACATATTTAAAGACTAGCATATTCTCATTACAGTAAGGCAGGGAAACTATCTCTGGGTTTCCTAAGTTGGTTCGTCATGCATAACTGCTTTACGCGGTGTTAGAGCATTGACGTAAAGCTTCAGATTAGGTCTTGCTTCCCGTCTTTGTTCCCTTCTGGCTCGTTTTCTATTTGCACTTCTGCAGCTTCAACTTTCTTGGCAAAAGGGAGGTATTCTTCTAATAGTTTGTTATGCAGCTTATTGTTTCTCCCTGGCATTGTACTGAATAAGTAATAACCACTGATTAGTAAATGCTCAGAATGCTAATGAATATTTGAGAGAGAACTAGCTCATAAAAAGGAAAAGCTTTCAAGCTAATAGAACGGCATTACAGACAATTACTTATGGTTTGATGATTGCATGGTGGATTTAAGAGTTTTGCTCTAGTCTGTAGCTCAGGATTCTGTTCTGACTTTTCTGTTAACTTCAAATGTGTGCTTGGACAAGTCACCTAATTGGTTTTAATCTTCATTGTGCTACATGTGAAATTTTACAGTGCTTCCCAGAGTTATTAAATAATCTGGTGTCTACCATGGAATGTTTTGCCATAGGAAATTGTTGAGCCTAAAACATAACAAGATTTTAAAAGAAGTGAGACAGTTTTATGGGAAGCAAAAGCACCCAAGGATGAAGTAGTTACTGATAAAATCTTGTTAAATTTGTTTTAGGGTTTAAGCCTGTCTCTGGCTGTAGGGAATTGGAAGAATTGTACATGGAGAAACAGCAACCCTACTGCTTCATAATACAGAAACTTTCTCTGAAGCATTCATTTTTTGTCACTAGCTACAGGATCATATTCTTGCATTGACTTGTAATGAAACACCTTGTGGTTGATGTGCCTCTGAAACTTATAATGAAACAAGCACTCCTGAGATAATAAGAAAGGCAGTGGTGACATAAAAAGTGATGAACCATACAGCTAAAAGATTCATGCATTGTGTTGGCATTCTGTAGACAAAAAGAGGTGAAATATGGTATTCCTCTTTTGTTTTTTGATCAGTGCTGCTTTTGAATCTGACATAGTAACTGACACTTTCTTTCAGGGGTCCTTAGCTATTGTAAATTACACTGGTTTTAGTCTATACTAAATAATGTATGCAAATTCTTTTTTTCCTCGTGAACCTTGTAATTTAGTAAATGATCTGTGCACTGAAAATGTTATTACTTTTTTTTTTCTTTCTGACATTGTCAGCATGTGCAAGATGAAGAGTAATGGTGGTGGAGCTGTTTGCTTTTTTAATTTCTGGGAAGACCAGCAGGCTTGTTCACATGTCTGCAGTGTGCCCTGGCAGCCAAAAGGGCCAACAGTGTCCTGGGGTGCGTCAAGCACCGCATAGCCAGACAGTTGAGGGAGGTGATTGTCCCACTCTACACCACACTGATGCAGGCCCACCTTGAGTACCATGTGCAGTTTTGGGCACCTCAATATAAGAAAGACCTCAGCCTACGGACTGTGTCCAGAGGAGGGTGACCAAGATTGTGAAAGGTCTTGAGGACAAGACTTAGGAGGAGAGGCTGAGGTCACTTGGTTTGTTCAGCTTGGAGAACAAAAGGCTGAGGGGTGACCCCTTTAAAGTCTACACCTTCCTCTCTTAAGGAGCACAGCAGCGGGGGAGGTGCTGATCTCCTCTCTCTGGTGACCAGCAACAGGACACGGGGAAATGGGATGAAGCTGGTCAGGAAAAGTTCAGACTGGACAGTAGGAAAAGGTTCTTCACTGAGAGAGTGGTTAGTCACTGGAGCAGGCTCCCCAGGGAAGTGGTCACAGCACCAAGCCTGTCAGAGTTCAAGGGGTGTCTGGATAATGCTCTTAGTCCTATGGTTTAGTCTTAGGTAACTCCATGTGAGGTGCAGGGAGTTGGACTCAATGATCCTTATGGGTCCCTTCCCACTTGAGATACTCTATGATTCTGTGTGTTATTTATACACAGTCCATACTAGAATGTTTTTCCATTGCTGCATTTCAGGTGCCTTGTCAGGAGCCAGAGAAAGCTGGGAATATGATTCAGGAGCAAGAGACCTTCAGAGTCCAGACCTCCAGAGTCATTTGACACTGCAAAAGGTGTTGGAGTATGGTGGAAGCAATGTGACCCAACAGGCTGCTCTGCAAAGGCTTCTAGCTCAGGCCTCAAATTTTAGCAACTCTGTTGGAGGAAGCTACTTAGAACTTGCCAACACTGTAAGTGCGTTTTGCCTCTCCTTCTAAGTTTTGTATAATTTTTTTCTTGTTTTTCTCCAAATCAGCACATTAATTCTGGTCTTAGAGCCTTTGAGCCTTCATGGAAACAACGCTGCTGTTGCCTTTCATTTACCAGAAAACCAATGTGATTTTAGCAGTTGCTAGGTGTATAGTGTTTCCAAAGCTTGTATAACTGAGTTTCATGAAAAAGGATAGGAGTCTGTGAGGAGCCAAACTGAAGTTCTTAATGTATACAATTTAACAGAAGGAGAGTTGTGTCTGAAAACTTCCTACCAATTAATTTTTTTAAGTATGGTGTCAGATTGTTCAGAAGTGTTGTGCAGAGAAGTTCTTCCCATGTTATTTCATTACTGCCCACTAAATTGATAATTGTTTTAAACTCTTGGTGTGCTAGCACTGTGTTTTTTATTTCTACAGGCAAGAACTATTCGCTGTTGTGAAAACCATGTAACTCTTGAAGGAATAGGGCTTTATTTTTTTGCTTTCCCATCAGTGTTTTGGGATCAAGTTTGTGTTTTAATTTTAAGCCAGGCATGTTATAAAAGACCACCCATTTTGTAGCATGTTTCTGATTTATGTTGCAAAGGAGTTTAAGTGGAAAAGTAAAAGATGCTAAAATGAAAGTGAAAAATTTCTCACTTTTAAAATAACTGTTTATTGGCATGCTTGACTTTGATGAAATAGACTCCTCGTTCATAGTATCATAGGATAATTCAAGCTGTAAGAGAATCTAGTCCAACATTCTGCTTAAGACTCACTGTCTAATGAAAGTGATTGCTGGTTTCATTATTTGAAAAGAAACTGATGACAAATACTCTGAAAGTGTTTTCAAAAGCCTTCTAAGTTTTATTTAAGTTCCTGAACATGATCCAATATAGGACCTAATGTTTCCATATGCAGAGTAAATATATGTAGGTATTAAAATCTATCTAAGGAGGAAAGAGTTCAAGGAAGTTGACAGTTCCTTGAAGAAATTGTGTCCTCATTTTCCGTAGGAAGGATAGTAGGGGATCAACTGCAGTAAATCATAAACTCTTCGATCTTCTATGGAGAGAAGCATATGCACACTGGAAGGAGTGGAAAACGAACAGGCACATGTATTATAAAGAGGGTAAGATGGAGGACCTGGGAAATTATAGGCCAGTTAGCAGCTTTATTTATATGTTCCAGTAGTTTTCTGGAAATGTGAGTGGTTTTAAGTGAGTAAGAGAGAACACGTAGATTTGTGAAAGAACAATCATGTCCATCCAATCTTGTGTCTCCTTTAACAGAATAGTAGACTTTGGAGATAGAAGAGAAACCATAGATGTTGTGTTTTTCCAGTAAGACACCTGACCCTTCCTAGAGTAATGTTGTCATCATCAAGGCAAGAAACATAATCTAAATGTTTCTACTAAGAGGTAGATATTGAACTGGTTTGAATATCGTGAGGCACAGGCTTTGGTAAACCTGTTGCACATCTGCAAATATGAAAACACAGGTATGCCATGCTGTTCAAGAATGCACAATGTGAAGGCTACTGCATTGCTATGACATGTAGAAATCTTAAAAATAAAATTGCTGAAGGCTCCTAAGAAATAAAGATCCCCAGGTATTATGGCTTTCTTTTTATTCCCGTCTCTAAATTCCTTCTACACTTACTGTCATGAAAGATGTCTGATCTTTGTTTTAAAAAGCATCTGTTATACTTCTGCTTTTAAATATTCTTTCTATGGTCTTTCAAACCATACTAGAATCAGCATGTACACGAATATAATAACATCTCCATTTGACTCCTGCTGACCATTGGTGTCATGGGTCATATGCAAATTTTTGCTTTTACTTTATTCAAATGGAGAGAGAGAAAGGAATGGGAGAAAATGGAGAGAATGGTTTACTTTGTTTTACACTACTTTACATTTATTCCCTTTACTGAGGGGCATGCTTACTGCAGTCTAAATTTAGAGTCTTTAAAGAGATAAATGTAGCCTTCTTAGAGCTGTGATTTAATATGGGTACTTCCTTCTCTGTCTTTCTTAGGTTGTTTTACCTAGATGCACTTGCCACAATGACAAGCTGAGCTCCCTTGCATTCATTCTCAGAAATGACAGATCTCAGCTGGGTTTAATTCAGGGAGCTCTTCCAGTTGTACACAAGGAACTGGGCAGACAGACTCCTTTGTACTGTAACCAGGATTACTTCAAAAAAACCTGATGGAGGTTTAATAACTGGATTTCTTCCCTTTGGGAGTTGATTGTATTTCTTTTTGTAAAGCCGTCTAATAGAAGGACAAAGCTTTAAAAATAGGCTATGTGGACATTTCTCTCTGTAACTCTAAATGCTCCTGAAGTTAACTAGAGAGGTTTATCTTCTTCAGAACACTTACAAAAAAGTAGAGCAGGGCCGTTCTGTGTCAGCCTGCTACCAGGTGAGCAGTTCCTGGCAGCTTCTCCCAAATGCATCTACACAGGCTGTACGGACACATTCTTGAAAGCAACGTTTTTTAGATTTCTTTGTAGGTGTTTAGACTTTATACTCAGAGCTCTAAGAAAGTAACTGTTGTATGTGTGAACATAAATCAGGTAGGTGCTTTCTGCTTAGAAATCATGTGACTGCTTTTCTCTCAGCACTTTGAAGTGCTTTTCCCTATTGGAGTGTCAATTCTTGTTATTTATTTTCCTATTTTTCTTTCTGACAGCCTTCTTTTGATTTTAAATTGTGCAGTCAGACTAAAGACATCCCTGTGGTGATTATGTACTTCTACAGCATAGATTATACTCCTCAGTCAGGACAGAGGGTCTCCATGCTGCCCTTAATGTTTATATTTTCCATTTGCAAAAGCTAAATGAACATCAGTCCACTAGCAAGTTGCTTAGTTTTTATAAAGTGAATTTTGTAAAGTATTTTTGAAATCCTGTGAATGTACAGCTCTACAGAGCTTTATAAAAACATAATACCTGTTCTGAAGCATTACTCCTATTCTTTCCCAGGAGCAATACAATTTTTAAAAAAATGCTGTTTGAGATTTAACCATTCATACTCATTGCATATGCTTTTATCTTTTCAGTGCACATCATTTTGCTATGTTTTGGTTTATTAACACATGCTCAGATTCAGCTTTTGTTTCACCTGAATAATTTATTCTGTAGTCTTTATAGGGTGTGTAACTCTTTCGGTATTTTTCAGATTCACGTTTTTACACCTAAATATTAAGAACACATTTCACTTTATAGCTCTTCACCTTGGTACCAATAGTTATGACCAACAAACTAACCTTTAGCATGACCTGTCACTACTTACTGATGATATACCTGTTTGCGCCAGAAGATTAGATACCACAGCAAATATCTCTGATGGGAACCCTTGTATGTGTTCCAAATATAATCATTTATGAGCTTGGTTTGTATTGCATTGGGATGTAAATAATACAAATATTCTTCATGGATAGAAAAGAATTCAAGCATTTCAAAGGATTTTTTTGTGCATGTGCATGTTTGGGAGTTGTTTTTTGTTTGTACTTGAATCTTCAAAGTTGGACAAGAATCACTAATGTGCAGTCACCTAACTGTAGTGATATAGCTGATTCATGTTGTGTCACATCTGTTCACCTCCCAGGTGGCCATGCAATGTGGATGCATTCCCTGTGGTGCTATCAGGAGGGACAGCACTCTGTTGTAGGACCTGTAGAATTGCTGTTCTCTAAAAATATCACACAGGGCAGCATCTTGATAAGATAGGCATATTTCACATTAGAATTTTGGTGAAGTTTAAGCTGAAGCAATAAGATTTGGATATGTTTAATTCCCTTTTCATATTCTCCTTGCACATGATCAAAATAGTCTAGATTAACTTGATTTTTTTTTTTAGTAGAATGTGTGCATATGAATGCTAATACATGTCTGTGTGCTTACTGTTAGTTTCTATTGCCTTAATTCAGTGTTGTTTTAAGATGAATGTATTTGTTGTCACAAGTAGCTACATTTACATAAGTAAAACCAGTTGGGATTGTTTCGTTTGCCATGACGATATGGTCTCATACCTCTGTTCTTTTAGCTGTAACTCTGGTTTGCTGAGAAAGTCTCTGCACCAAGATTTTATGTTTTTAAAATGTGGCCCCAAATATGCTGATATTTGGGGGGGGGGGGGGGTGTTAACTATCTAGTCCCTGGACTGGCATGAACCAGGATCCTTTAATCTCTGATTTTTCTTTGCAAAGACACTGCAGCTGTACTGGAAGCTCTTTGAATACACCTTCCTTGCCAGAGCTCTTTTGGTTGAAAACATTTAGAAAGATTTGATGAGGCTATGGTTGACTTGCAGAGGGGAAGAGTACAGCTATTTTTTTGAGAATAGAGTGTGGTAGGATTTCTTCATGACCATTTGCTTCTAGAAGCCCGTGTTGCTATTTCATCCTCATTGCAGGTGTGCAAATGCCACAAAATGTGGTTGTGCTTCCTAACGCAGAGAGAAGGGCATATTTACACAGTTGCCAGCATTGCTTCCTGCAGCATCTCGTTCAGGCCAACAACTAAGCAGGCACAATCCTGCTTTATCTTGTGCAGGCTGTCAGTGCAAGATGGATGTGTCTAGGCAGGAGGGCATTGGCGCAGATGGCTCCACCTGCCAAATCTGTACTTCTCATCTTAAGGGGAGCTGGTTTTGGAATGTCTCCTTCAAGAACAAAACAGAAGACTAACGCAACAAGATTCTTAATGCATCTTCTTGTAACTGCTCTAGTACATGCTCTTCCTCAGCTATTCCTGTCTGATTTGCATGTGTGTGTACCTCATTTGGAAGTACTAAAGACTTAGTTGAGCTTCGGAACAGATCATCTGTGTCATGCATCTGTGTGACAGGGTATGCTTTCTGTACAGTGGAATTAAGGTGACTAAACAGAATTTAGTTCTGACTGTGGACTCTGTGCCAAATGCAGATATCATCTCTGTTGTGTATACAACCCAACCCAGAAGTTTATAAAGTAGAAAGGCATACTGGAAAAT